GGGATGCAGGTGCACTCACAGGGGAGCATCCATTTGCACTTTTTCCTAAGTTGGCATGAAATTCTGCCACGCTGCAAGGGATCGTTTCCTGCAGCCAGGATTCAGGTTGTTCTGATCTCATCCATTGCAGAAGAACCCCAGGACGGTGCGGCAGGCAGAGGAGGTGCGGGGCCTGGAGCATCTCAGCATGGACGTAGCTGTCAACTTCAGCAAAGGGGCCCAGCTGAGCTCTCACATCCACAACGTCTGCGCAGAGGCCAAAGAAGCAATTTATACCCGAGAAGAAGATGTCAAATTTTGGCTGGAGAAAGGTAAAAGTTTCCTTTGCTGGGGCTGGAAGTGGTCCCATCACTGAGCTGGCACGGCGTTGTGCTCTCTGATGCCAGTGGTTGGCATGGAATGCTTCTGCTCTTGTTTGCTGTTGCATGGTCGTGGTATGCGCACACCACGCTGTACTCTTCTGTTCTTCAGCATGTATCTGCTGTAGTGCTGCTCTCCTCGTGAACCTAATTAGGTGTTGCCTGGTCCACCACCCAAAAGAGAAGCATTCTTTGCATTCTTTATGTCTTTTGGCTTGTTCTCCCTACTGACCATTCTCCTCCCATGCCTCCCATCCCACACCCATGTTGAACACCCCCCGACGCCTCCCTCTCTGCCCTCAATCTCCTCCTCCACCTTCGGGTTGGTGCCATGAGTGCCCTGAGCACTTCTCCTGCTTTGTCCTACAGGGATGGACGGCTCCATGTTCGAGGTCCTGCCACAGACATCTGACCTGCCCGACCTGCAGCGCTGCAAGCTGTGCACGGACCGCTGGAAGCCGTGCATCTGCAGCTACTCACTGAGCATCGAGTGGTACCCGTGCATGCTCAAGTACTGCAAGAGTCGTGATGCTGCAGGCAAGGTTTCTTCCTACAAATGCGGCATCCGCAGCTGCCAGAAGGGCTACACCTTTGATTACTACGTGCCGCAGAAGCAGCTCTGTCTCTGGGATGAGGAGACCTAGCAGAGCTGGGCCAGGCCTCGTCAAGGAGTGGCTCGTCTGCCCTCCTGCTTGCAGTGCTGAGGGCCTCCTGGAGCTGGCTGCTCTGAAGAAGGAATTTGGTTTGCAGCGATGCCTTGTGCCAGGAGAGCTCTGTGAATGTGCCTTTCTTTTGGCCCCCTGTGCCCCCGTCCTGATGCTGCCTCGTGCTGTGATCAGCAGGTGATGCTGTCCTGCACGGCTTGCTGGCCTGAAGCAGCAGGAGGGCTGTGCCTTGCCCTGCTCTGCAGGTGTGAAGGGGTCAGTTGCGAGCACCACGGCTGCTTTGGGGCAGGGGGAGAAGCCATCCCACAGAGCCGGATTGTCCAACATTTCTGCCACCAAAAGCCCTTTGCTGACTTTGCCACCTCCTGGTGATGTGACAGCATTTCCCAATGGGAAAACAGCTGAGTTATGGGACCACAAACCCTGAATAAGGAAGGTATGAAGCCCACCCAAAGCCTACCTGTAGCTTTCCTAGCATCCAACCGCCTGCTATGTCCTTCCTGTGGCTATGAGGTGCTATGGGGGGATGCATCCCAGCAATTATTTCCACCCCAAAGGGCTGGTAATGAGGGCTCTAACTCACCCCCACTTAGACTAGTGAAGGCCCAACTTTTTGTGTTGGTTCCGTGCCTCACCCACTGAGCAAGAAACATCCAGAAATGTGTGACTGCCATCCTAACAGTGCACTATAAGGCAGGGGCGATCCCAGATGGGCATTGCAGATAGGGGAAAACAACATTCTGCATCTACGCCCAGCCTTGCATCCTACTTCACAAGGAGCTCTTAGGCAGCCCGTGCTGCTTTGCTGTGCCTTGGTTTGCCCTGTGTGTGAGCATGGATGGTGCCAGAGCCAACCATACACCTGGAGGGCATTGGACATAAAGTGCTGCAGAGCGCTGTGAGTTCTTCCACTCGACTCAGAACAAGCAGGGAGAAGACAGGGGCTCTTGGGGCTATAGGGAAGCCCCGTGCCTCCTGGTGAGAAGCCTTTTATCGTGTGCCTTTTTGCCTAAAATCCAGGATTTTTTTTTGGACCAAAAAAAAAAAAAAAGGAAAAAAAAAAATTGGTCACAATTATTTTTGTATTGATTACTTAAAGGGGAAGGGAGGGGAGGGAGAGAAGGGAAAGGTATTTTAATACTGCAACATGAAGTAAGATACACTTGAATGATTTTTTTTTTTTTTTAAGAGAAAAGCAATCCAATTATTTATCATTTCTAAGGTACAATAAACTGATTTTTTTTTTTTTTTTTTGAAGCATCCCTGGCCTGAAAAGCTCTGTTGTAACCTCAGTGTCACCTGTCTGTTTGGAATCTTGACTTGAGGGCTTTTGTGTCAAGCCTGTACTGTGAGCATTGAGGATTTTGGGGGAGGGTCGTCAGTGTGATCCTGCAGCTCCTTCTGTAATTTCGAGCCTGAGCTCTGGGCATGTAGCAGAGCCCAGGGGCAGCAATGGGGTCATGGGGTTCGGGAGGCTGGGGTCTGCTCCTCTCCCCCACAGGAGCGTATGAATGTGGGTCCGTGCCCAGCAGCCCCGGGGGAGGGATGGGGGATCCCCTTTTATCCATCCCTCTGCAGCAGAGGTGAAAGGAGGACGGCGTTTTGGGGCGGCTCGGAGCTCGTGCTGCTCGCAGGAGAAGCGTGGAGTGCTGATTCCCCCTAGCGTGGTGCAGGCAGAGTTTGCGCAGCCTCAGCCCTTCTGCACTTGAGCAACCGAAGCATCTCCCCATGATTTCTAAGGAGGCTGGAGCTGTTTTTCCCCTGCTGATGTGCTCAGCGTTACACGGGTTCCTGCTCGTCCTTGCTGGGCTCAGATCCTGGCACACAGGCGGCTCAAGCTGGCTGGGAGCTCTGACATAAATCCTCAAAGCTATAGGAGAAGCCTTGGGGGATTTTGTAACATCTTTCCACAGCCTGTGCTTGCAGCCCCGTCCCCAGGCCGTGCTGTCTGCAGAGCTCCCCTCCCACCGAGAGGGAGCACGAGTGGGCTGTGTGCAAGTGGTGAGGATGGGAGGCAGTGGGTCCTGATTGATGCTCACGGGGAGGAAAGAAAGGAATAGAAGTGCAGCTGATTTCTGTCAGCAGCGTATCTGCAGGCATCCAGGAGGGATTGTCTCAGGGTGGAGTCAAAGCAAATCTGCCTTTGCCTGGGAAAGGTGTCCTTAGGGCTGCAGCTCTCCTCTCTTGTCTGTCTGTACATCTCAGGGCGGCTTCAGGTGGCTTAACCACGAGGTCACGTACTTTCCTGGCAATGGTCTCCAGGTGAGGGGCTTCTGAGGAGAAAAACACGATTTCTTTCTTTCTCGCTGTCCCACCTACCGCAGAATAAGAACCAGAAAAAAAGCAGAGCCTAGCAGCTGGGACCAGGAGAGGGCACTGCGGGGCCGCCTATGGCCGGGCCAGCATCCCGGGTTGGGGGGTGTGCGGTGTCAGCTGTGCGGCCGTGCGGGACACCCGGGGGATAAGGATAGGCTGCCCTGCTCTGGAGCAAGGAGGAAGCATTGGGGAGCAAAGGGAAAAAAAGAAAGAGCATCAAAGGAATGTGTTTGAGTGCTTGAGATGGGGAAAAAGAGAGTGTTGGTGACCCTCAGCCTTTCAGGAGCTCTTTCTCTGCACCTCTTCCAGCTGGCTGAGTGCCACCTCCAAAGCCACGTCTGACGCAGTGCGGACACCTGATCGCATCAGGCTTCGACATGGGGAAATCCCAGGTGTGGGGGTCACGCTGATGCCACTCACAAGCAGCCCAGCAGTGCCCAGGAGTGCCCACGGGTCCAGCTGAGCTGGGGCTGTGCCACAGAGCTGTGGCAGAAGGCCAGGAGAAGAAGTCCTGCACAGTCTACCTGTGTCGGCTCCTGCTTCCTGGAGCAGCTGTGAAAACAGCCCACAGTCATCTCCCTTCAGTCCCTCCATCCTGCCAACCTGGGAACCTCCTCTCTCCATTTTTATTCTTGCTTTCCTCATCTTCTTTTAATTTTGAAGCACATCCTTGCAGCCCTCTCCCATGGGTGTCCCCTCACGCTCCAGCCCCAGAGCCCCCCACAGTTGGGATGAAGGTGAGGTTCTCCAGCCCCTTAGCCTCACACTGGGGTGGAGGTGAAGCCTGGAGAGCCTGCCCACCACCCACCCATCCCTTGGGAGAAACCTGTCTTTCCAGGGAGGGAGAGCAGCATGTGGGAAAGCCAAGAGCCCTGGAACGTGCACGAGGCAGGGAGAGATGGATGTGTGATAGCTTGTACCTGGCAGCTCTGATGGATAAAGCCTGTTAACGCTTTCAGGAAGGGGCTGAGCAGGAGATTGGGAGGTTTGTACACCCCTAAGCAAGGCAGGAGGCATCGGGGCGGTGCAGGGGGCAAACAGAGACAACAGGTATAGAATCATAGAATGGTTTGAGCAGGTCGGGGCGACGCTGGTGCTGTCATGGGATGGAGCGCCGGCCTGCCTGCAGCTAGGGGATTTTCTCCCTGGCTTCCCTGGAATCCTGGAGCCTGACATGACACGGTGGAGAGGAGGAGGCCCTGCTTCCCTCTCCTCGAGCCTCGTGGCAGGGAGAACAGCTTGGGAAGGGCTAGCTGCGTGCAGCACCGCTCCGTCCCACGCCGAGCGCTTCCACGGATCCCCCAGTGCTCAGCCCCATGCAAGCGGCCCAACACAACCACCACAAAGTGCCGCTTCCCTCTGTGTGCCACCTCGTGCCTCGACCCCTCGAGATGCCCGCAGCCTCCCCGCAGCACGAGGCTACGCGGGGCAGCAGCCAGGCCCGCTCGCAGGTGCTGCGGGGCTCATCGAGGCGGCGCGGGCGGGCGGGCGATCCGCCTCCTTCCCACCCCACCCCACACCCTGGTAGCGCTGCAGGGACTCATCCATTCCCCGGTTACTAATATGCAAATGGTGCTTTTGCATGGGCCGGGCGCCAGGCTGCTGGGTGTCAGGGCACCCGAGGGAGCCGGAGGTGGGGCGAGGCGTGGCGTGGAGCCGCATGCTCACCTGGCCCTGCATGGCAACAGGCAATGGAGCTGTAGGTCCCGTCGGGAGCGGACCCGCGCCCGGTTCGAGAGGCAGCAGCGGGTGGCAGAGGAGGGAGGGCAAACTGGCAGCCCCTGGCAACCTGGGGCTGACGGCAGGAGGCTGGGCGCACCGCGGGTTTCCCCCCGCCAGCAGGATGGTGAACCTGGAGTCCGTGCACGCAGGTAAACGAGCGCGGCAGGAAGGATCGGGCTGCAGGAAATGGGGTTGCTGCGATTCCCATGGCTTTTCCCCCTCCTCGACCTCCTCTTCTCTCCTCTCCTGTTGGAGTCAGTGATCGCAGCTGGCACACAGGGATGGATGCTGCCTTGACCCTTTTTAGGGTGCGCAGTGTGGAAGTGCTGCTCGTACTGCTGGCACCAACGTGGGCTGCAGAGCAGAGCAGAGAGAAAGATTTTGGGGCAGCTGGAAACTGGGCAGGCAGTGCCTGAGCCCCAGGTCTGGTGTCATTGGGGTAAAGCTGGGAGCAGTGAGAGGGGTGAAGTCAGAGGGCTGCAGGAAGGATGTGTGACTGAGAGGGAGGGGGGCTGCAAGGAGAAAAGGGAATGACGAAGAAGGAAAAGGAGGGAGAAATGAATGAGCAGAGAGCTGCAGGAGGATGGGGCGACTCCTGATGGGATGGGGAGAACAGGGAATGAATGAAGGGCGATACGCAGAAGGAGCAAGCGCTGCTCCCAGGGGGTTTGACACAGCGGTGCAGCCTGGAAGCTCCACATCTCCAGGCAGCCCTCACTGGGAGCAGAGCAATGGGTGCCAAACACCTCAATGCTGCCAGGAGCTCAGGCTCTCCCTGCACCTCGGGTTTGGCTGCTGCTCCCATCCTGAGGAGCCCCTGCGAAGAGAGGAGGGACCATCCTTGGGCATGTGGGGCTGTGAACTGGGTCCTGACAGCCCCTGCTGTGGGATGGAGTGCTGGAGGCAGGGGCCACGTGCAGCTGAGCTGGGAGCCTCCACACCACTGGGAGAGGCAGCGGGAGGAGGGCAGTGCAGTGGGGTCTGAGCACCTGCGCTGGCCCGGTGTGCAGCATCTCCCGGGGCTGCACCCCCCCCCAGGCTCCTATCTGCCCAGCTGCTGAACTTGTGGGCGACTCCTTCTTCATGAAAAGATTCCCCACATTGATACCGTGCCCTCTGTCAGAGCCCGTGGCATCGCTCCCGGGGTGGATTTGGCTGGGAGCTGCGTGGTGCAGGGTGCACGCTGAGCCTCCCTCCCCCAAATCGCCCACCGAGGGGCCCGAGCTTCCAACAGTGGATTTACAGGGAGGGAGACAAAGCTGAGCCCGGCTTTTTGCACGTGGCAGAGCCCAGAGCAGGTAGTAGGGAGTTATTCCCATTGCTGCAAAGGGGGATCTGTGTGCTGAGCAGCTTGGGAGGCTGAAACCCACATTGCTCCCCCCAAGCAGGGTCTGCACAGCACTCCCCTGCAGCAGAACCACCCCCTGCTCCTAACATCTACACCTTCTCAGCTTCCTGCAGCCTCCGCGGAGCTCGGGCACATAGAGCACAGCAAAACCCATCGGGTTCCAGGTGCCGGACTCAACCAACCCAATTTCTCCCCACTACTTTCTTTTCTCCTCTTAAAGCCACTGGGCTGGTTTACGCCTGGTGCCCATGTCAGAACAACTCCAAGGAATAAGGGCTTGGGAAAGCTTTATTTGCTGACACCATTTGTTTCGGCCAAAATAGAGATGCAGATATATCCCCAGAGAAGTGTCTGCACCGGTAGAGTTGCTTTGGTCTGGGTAAACAAAGCAGCCTGCCTCTTGTGCAGGTAGCTGAGCTCTGGCAGCACATTTTTAATATGGCCCAGGCCACAGCGGCGGCTCCTAATGGGGCTGTGGTTGGGAGTCAGGCAGTCCCACATTGCATTATTTTTCCCAGCCGTGTCTGCGCTCAGCTTGCTCTCCATCTATTGCAAAGCTGCATGGCAAGAGCCCGCATTTGCCTGGCCTCAGTGTCTCACAGCCTGCTTTGTCTTAAGAAAAACCATCACACGTGGGGGCTCGGTGTCACTCTGCCCCTGGGTTATGGTGAAGGACGTATAGTTCCCGTCATCCTGGCTGTGCTTGCATCAGAAAGTCACCCCCTGCATCCCCAGCCCTGGTTCCCAAGGACCCCTCAGAGGATGCAGCACTGCTATCCACATGTGCTCACCCATATCAGCAGACTTCCATCAAAAAACATTGCTTTTTTCCCCCTGGTTCTTTGTTAGTTTTTTTTTCTTTTTTTTCCCTATTTTTGGAGGCTTTTTTGAGCAGAGAGTGGGGTTTATTTTTCCCCTCGCAACGCATCCAAGCTGTAATAACTTGTGTCAGTGTGACGAGGGGAAGTTGAACCTTTGCGAAAACAAAACCCTTTTGCTTTCTGTATGAGAGCATCACAGGGCATCGTCTTATCTGCTGGCTGCAGCAGGAGGGAATTAAACTGATGGGTGATACCTGATAAGTAATCAAGTGGCAGATGCCATTCCTCAGCCCCCCACGCCTCACATGATAACCACAGATGGGTGAAGGATGCTGCTGGCTGCAAACTGCCCTGACCCCGTGTGAAGGGGCTGGGGGTGCACACAGCACATCGCTTTGCTGCTGCCCTGCTTTGTGAAGTTGTATTCTTCTTTTATTTGATGAGAACTTGGCTTCTCCTTCAGCTACCTCCTGGCAGCAGACAGAGCCGAGCGCTTTGTAGCCTGCCTAAGTCAGGGTCCCCTGGCAGCAGTACAAGACAAGATGTTTATAGCTGGAGATAATTGCTCTTCCTGCAGTAGAAATACTTAGAAGCCCCACTAAATGCTCGTGTCTTAATTGCAGAGGGATTACTTGAAACGAAACGTTTTTCCCTTCTCCTTTTCCTCCCTTGCTCCTTCAGACAGCTTAAGGAGAGGAAGTTTCTGAAGTGCATGGCTGGCTCTGTGCTGCCATCGTGCACAGCTTTGCTGTTTTTTCTTCCAGCAGACTTTAGCTTAGGAAAGAATTTCAGACCTTCACCTAAAGGAAGGCCTAAACAAAGCAGAGAGTTTGCCATTTGCACGCTGGAAGCTGCAATAGGAGGGAAATGAGAGAGAGGTGCTTGCTCTATTGTGAGCAATAGAGGGAAATTGGAATAAAAACACGCAAGCTGTTTTGGCCAGTTGGAAATAACAGGAGGCATGCATAGGGAAGAGGAAAAGGGCTGCGTGATGCCTTTAAGAAGGCTTCCACCTGCCTTTGCTGTCCCAGCAAAACCACAGCAAACAGTGCTCCGCTTCCACGCTGTTGTTATTCCCTGATGCAAATTGTGTGACTGCTGGGGCTGGGATTGGCTGCAGGAGGCACATGCAAATCACTCCGTTGGGTCTTTATAAAAATTTATTATCTTTTTTTCTTTTTCTTTCCCCCCCCCCACCCCTTCAACCTACCTGGAAAGAGTTAAAATTCCCATGCAAAGGGGAGAAAAGGGCGAGGGGGTGTCCGTCTGAATTTGAATAGATATTCTTCCTTCTTTCTCTCTGTGTACTTTGCCTCTGTTAAGGAGGAGACGAGGGATCTACAAAGTTGACCATTCCCTACTCTTTCCTTTCAGCTGTCCCCGAAGGAGAACGTGGCCCTGGGTGTGGTGGCAGCCATCACTTCAAGGGTAAATGATGAATTTTTGGCATTGAGGAGGATGGAGAGAGATGTGCTGGATGGTGCAGGCAGTGTTCTTCTGGGGGCAGCGAGCACGTGTTGGGTGAATAGTTTGCAAGCAGATGTATTGGGAAGAACGGAGTTTGGAAGGGGGTGAGGGAAGGAGCAATTGCCCTTAGAGCATCCTGCTCCGTGCAGTGCCAATATGGCAGCAAACCAACACCAGCTTGGCCACAACGTCCCAAAATGAAAGGATGGGACGTAGGGGAGGATGGAAACTGGGAGGGGTCCCCAGAGGTGCAGGGATGGAGGGCGGTGCCACCAGCTGCTCTGGGAGGTCTTCATAAAGGAGGAGCCTGGGGGGGGTTTGGAGGGCTCAGAAGTGCCCCTTGCCCTCTGCAGGAAGAGGAATGGCACGAAGGGTGAGAAGCACATCAGTGAGCTGAGAAGGGGGCTGCGAAGAGCAACAGGAGGGAAAGTGCATCCTCGGAGCTGATGAATATTCTAGTGGCTGTATGTTGAAGGAATCAGAAATTTGAAAGTCTGATGGTTTATTATAATTACACATTCATTTGTGCTGTTTAGTGGAAGCCACATGTGCCTGTTGCCTGGGACTGTGACCTGTTATTAAAATCAGTTGTGCCATCTTTTTTTTTCTTTTTTTTTTTTTTTTTTTTTTTTGCAGAGATCAAGATGAGCGGCGATGCGGCGGATTCCACGGACACCCGGCACGAACCCGACCAAGTGGAGCCAGGTAAGGGGGGGTCCAGGACACGGGGGGCTGTTGGGCAGAGGGGCAATGGGGTGCTGGAAGTTCCTGCCGTGCTTTGCTCCACGCCTGTTGCTCTGCATCGTGCTCCTGCAGCCAGCTGGGAGTTGATAAAAAATGCGCTCTGGGCAAGGATTGCACCCGTATCTTGATCAGCATGCAAGCTCCTCTGTCACAGCAGTGAATCAGTGCGTGGCTCGGCAATGTCCTCTGTGGTTTCAGCAAGGAAATGTGCTCCTTTCTTGCTAAATGAATTATGCCACTGAAATAGTCTTGGGCCGCCAGCTTAGCGCAAAGGTTGTACGCAGGGTCGATGCCAGGAATGCTTCCCCAGACACAGGGCCCAGGGACTGTGCCTTTTTTGGCCTCTTGTCTGTAGAAAAATGGGAGGGACTTGTGGAATACCCAAATGCAGCCAGGTTGTTCCAGCCAGAAGGGAACGCCACTCATCTTGAAGCGTCATGGGGTTTCTCACCCTGCTCCCACTTGATGCTCAGGCTGCTCTGTGGCTAGAAGCCCCAGATTCCCTTAATAATGTAAAACTGAAGAGCAGAGTGATCCTGAGAATGGAACAGCACTGAGTTATTCTAGTCCACCTACCGCTTCTTGCACTACCATGAGGTGTGAGATGCACTGGAAAATCAAAGCTGTGTTTTCCAGCATCACTTCTGCCTGCAGTGGGCTTTGAGGACAGGATTCGAGGACAGAACTTCACAAAGGCTTACGGTTGGGTTCTTTTTCAGGCCAATAAACAGCAGTAAGACAAGCATTAAGCACCCGCTGGTTACGGTTACAACAAACAAAGATTACTAGAAACAGAAAGGCTCATCTCTAGAGGTAGAAATAAACACCATTTAAAGCCAAAACTCATAGACAGCGTATGAGAGTTGTTGCTCTTTGGAGAACACAAAGCTTGGGGTGGGAAGATGTGTAACAACAGATTAAAACTTCACAGGGAATGATTTTATTGCTTCCCTTTTGCTTTTGTCAATTGAGAGGGAAAGGAAAAACAGGAGATCTTGGTGGAAGCCGGAGAAGCCCAGGCATGTTCTAATGGAACTGAAAGTGCCCCTTTATTTACGCTGCGCATCGAGGTCTCAGCGCTCTGAAGTTATTTGACGCATTCTAAGGCTGAGATACAATCTGGTTCTATTCACGTCTATGAACTCTGGTTGACTTTGGTCAGGCCAGCTCATGGCTTCCAGCCGACCCCACGCTGGTTTTTAGAGATCGATATTTCCCAGCCTGGCAACAAACACAGCCTCGGCTGCTTCCAAATCAGCGTTGGCTGTAACTGGGCATTGAATGGGAACGAGAAATGGAGTGGCACGTATTGCTGATGGGCAGCACGGTTGGATGGTGGTGAGGGAAGGCTGTGTTAGGCCTGAGCTGGTTTTTTTCGTGGCTGGATGCTATTGGGAGAGCCATTGCTAGTGGCACTGGTGTTCAATAGGGGAGAAGCCAGCGCCAAAGCTGTTGGGATAAAACACATTTTCCGTGTAAGCTTCCCAGAAAGCCAATAGCATCTCTTCTGAGGGGAGTTGGAGAGTGTTGAGCAGTGCTCCAGGAGCCTTCCTGTCAGGCACGGATATCAGAATGGGCAAACCTCCTTCATTTAGCACAGACCAACCCTTCCCTGTGGACCGATCAGGCTCTTTTCTCTCGTGGGAGAGAATTCTGGGGGATCCTTTGGGACCCGACCCTAACCGAGCCCCCTGTGGGGCTGCCCCTGTGCTGCACCAGATCTCCTCGCTGCCTTTGTTTGCTTTTTCCCCTTTCCAACAATTCCCGTTTACCGACAACAGAGCGCTTTGTACTGAGCTTCCCTGAACTGCTGTGTTTTCCCTGACGTGCAGCATGAGAGCAATACTTACCGCAGCACCTCACCGTTTGGGGTTTTGTTTACCAGCTTCATGTGGGAAAGTCCTTTCTGATCACTTACTAATTAATTGAAGGCCCGTTTCCTAACGAACCGGACCGCTGCACAGCTTTCCAGGAATCCTGCTCCCTCCATAGAAGGCAGTAGTTACCACGACAAAACGACCAATATTATTGCTTCCAAAGAATGGAAATCTTTCTAGGTGCAGATTCACAAAGGCCTTTCATCACATAAAGACGTAGACTGGCTCCAAGAGGAATTTTAAATAATAATAATAATAAAAGAAATCTGGAGGGAGCCGGGTGCCAAAATGCTTTTGTAAACCAAGCCCTTGATCTGAAACTGATGCCTGCAGATCTGATGGGAAGTGTCGGTAGCAGAGGTATCATCTCATCCTTTCATATCTCCGCCAGTTCCAGGCTTGGAGGGAGGAAAGGGTAATCTGGGGCATTGTTTTACTTTGAAAGCGTTTAAAAATGGGGCTTTTCCCTTTTTGAGAAACTTGTGGCATTTTTTTTTCGTTACCTTTTTCATAAGAGGTCAGGAAAGCTCGGCTTTGATTCTTCTTTTATTTATTTCTCCACGTTGATTTCATACAAAACACTTGGAAGCTTTTAATGAGACGCTCTCCAAAAGCTCACGCTTGCTCGAGCTGCTTCCCCCCATAGCTGTAGCAAAATTCCACCGCATAAGAAAAAGACAAAACCTCTGGAATATCACCCACTCTGCCCTCCTGTGCCTTCCTTCTGCCTTTCCCATCATGACACATGTATGAGCTGCAGGGGTTATTCCTGTAGGGCTCTCTTGGGGCTGCGTGGGGCCGTACAGCCCTATAGAGCCCAGCTGTCCTCGCAGGGCCCTCCTCGCCCTGTATGATGCTGGTAAGGCTCCGTGCACCGGGGTGCTGCTGGGCTCCATGGGGGGTAATGACAAGCGCTTGGCTCCGAGCTCTTTTCATCTTTTTAAACTGATGAAAGCTATGCCAGCAAGTTCTGGGTTGGTTTTTTTTATGGGAACTGTGGGGGCTTGGCACTGCCGAGTGTCGCCCCTGGTCTTCAAGCCGAGAGGCAGAGATCTCCCCCTTCTTGTGGTTTATCTAAGCCCTCTGTATCTGATGCAACAAAATGCTGAGGTGGGACTTGCCTCCGTCTGTCTGTTTGTTTGTGTCAGACACTTGTTCCCCGTTTATCTGCTTGATCAAAACAGGTTACACCAAGCAAAGCTACTTCCCTTTGATTTCATCTGTTGAGGCTATGGGGGGGAAGCCAAAGCCTTAACAAAAGGACGATAGGGAAGCTCTTCAAACACAACCATCGGTAACCGAATAGCTGCAGGCGCTCCGAACATCTTCCCTCCCCACCCTGCAATGTGGGGAACTGGACAGCCTGCCAGCAGCCCGGGGCGGGTGTGATGGGCATCCCAGTGCATGGGGAGGGAGCTGGGATGTGCAGCGTGGGGCAGACCTGCAGCCTTGGTGGCAGTGGATGCAGCTTTGCGCGGCTGGGATCTGGGAGCAGCCGGGTTTGGGATTGTGGCTCCAGACAGGTGGGCTCTTAGCTGGCACTGATGGCAATAGCATTGTGGTTGTGTCACCCTCGCAGCCTGCATAGCATCTCTGGTGTGTTAGGAAGTAATAGAGCAATTCCTTTCAACCCTAAGGAAATGGAGGCTGTGAGGAGCTATGGTGCATCTGCTCCTACGGTGCTGCAGAGGGGATGGCCCTTTGGATGTCACTCTTCTCAACTGCACAGCTTGTAGCAGTGGGAGGATGGCAGCAAGAGGTGACACCTGCCTGCATCCAACAGCCCCCTGAGCCAGGCAGGCCAGAGCAGCATGGAGCTGGCCACCAAAACTCTCCACCCAAGCAAAAAAAGCCCCTGAGTACCCTATCTCCTGACATCACCGTCTGTGCATTTTGCATCAAATCTGCAACGTGGAAAATCAGAGCCCTTGTCTCCATCTCTCTGCCACACGCTCCCTGTACAAATGTAATCAGTCCATCTGTGCTCCTCGGCTCCAAAGTGGGGATCCCCATCTCGTCTCCCACCTTGGTGTCAGGATGTGAGCTCCTGGCTGCAGCTCTCCCTGCTATCCAGGGTCGCAGTTTGTCATATTCCCATGGTCGATCTCTGGGTTTGCTGGGAAAGGCTGCTTTCAAACTTTATGGCTTATGCCCCATAGGATACGGAGGCTTTCACCTCCACATCAGCTTCTAACTCAGGCAGAACACACACCCAGGAGACATTGGAGTGAGATGGGTGCTCAGGTTTTGCACTGCTCACTGACACAGCTCATGAGGGATGCCCGGGCTGAGCCCATTTCTTTCCTTTGCTCTTATCTCTTTGGATGGGGCTGGAGCCTTTTGAGGAAACCTGGCCTTCCTGGCCCCACACCTCGTCCTTGGCTGCACTTCTCCCAGGGGCAACTCTCCCTGGTGAAACTTCCCTCAAAGCCTCCGGGATCTCTCTTGTCTCTTCCCCCTGCAGCTACCAACAGCCCCAGGACAAGTCCCAAAGAAGTAAGAGCAGCAGCAGCAGGGCTGGAAAACAGCTGGTTGCTATGGCAATGGGGCTTGCTCGGGATTTGCATAGGGCTGGTGATTTTCATAGTACAGCCACATTTAAGGCGAGCAGGAGAAATTTCCATATTCCCAGCTCCAAGTCAGTTGGGGCGTGGGGGAGGCCAGGAGGGGGATATTTGAAATTCAAATGAAGGTGATTAGGGTTTGAGGTTGGGTTATTTTATTTTATTTTTTTTTCTTAAACATCCCATTATGGAAGAGGATAAAAAAGGATGGGGAGGGGAAGGGGAACAAAAGGCTGGTTTGACTTGAATTAGAGGGGCAAAGGAAGAGCTGGTCTGATCTGCCTCTTGCCTCTGGCCCAAGAGAAGAGACGTGCCCTCTCCCAACACCTGCAGGTGAAATGTTTTCCGTGGGAACAACTGCTGCCCTCGGGTTTCCTTCGGGAAGCTGCCCCAGTCTCCCACACTCGCCGTCCCGCACTCCCCCCCATGCCCTGACCCACACGAGGGTACAGCAGTGGCACCGAGGGGTGGGAACTCTTGGAGGAATGGCATTGGTTTGATCTGGGAGTTTAAACACTCGAGTGAAAGCTTCCCCTGCAGACTTTGAGTCAGCGCAGATTCACTTTCCTTGCTAAGCAGCCTTGGCTCTCCCACAGAGGAGAGCCTGCAGTGCCCCGGTTGGGTCTGTTTGTGTTGCTAGAGCAAACAGCTAATAGGGAAACTACAGCCCTGCTTGGCTGCCTTGCAAACTTCCCATCCTGTTCACACTTTCCCTTTCTACCCTTACGAAGCGCTGCTGGAGTTAGTTAGCCTTGAGAACAGCGAGCATCCCAGCAAGGGCAAAGCAATAGAGCTGGGTCTGCTCAGCTGCAGCTTCTGCTCCTCATCACCAGCAGGCACAGGTGGGGGCAGTCAGGGTGATGGCAGGGGGATGTGAAAAAGTGATTGCAGCCAGGCCCTTACTGCTGGGACAGATCTACAAGTTGGTGGCTGAGCATCCAAAGAGAATTGAGCTGCTGAGGATGCTGAATTTCTTTGTGATTTGATAGAACCATGCTGTGCTCAGTGCAGGTGAGAGGTTTCCTTTGCTTACAGTGTGTGGCTCAGGTATTGTCCGTAGCTGTGTTCAATGCTACCATTTCTTAACCTCCTCTTGGGTGATGCTTTAATTTCACATGTTGTTCAGGCTGAGGGGTCTGATGCTTCAGTCCATGTGAGCAAGTTAACTCCTCACCTTCAAGAAAACATATCTTGGAAGGTGCCCTGCACCCAGCCTGCTTTGCCTGTCCCCAATGGCACTGTGCTTTATCAGCTGCAATGCTAAAATACTTGAGGATAGGAGAGAGAAATCTTAATTTCAGCTGTTCAGTACTCTGACCTGCTCACCCCTTAGAGCCAGTGATGGGAACAGGCAGCTCTGGAGGTGATTCATCCCCATGTCCCAGGGGCGAGGTGAGCTGCCCTCTGGAAGCACCGGCTTCCTCTCTGTGGCTGCAGAGGCAGCCTAGAGCGATTGGCTCCCAATTAGATGCTGCAATTTAGACATCTGAGCCCCTGCCCACTGTCTCCCTGGCACTTTTCCCCCCGCTGTCATTCAGCTGTTCTGAATTTCCCTCCCAAATGCATGGGGCAGAAAACTGATTCCCTGTGGGAATTCCCCAACACCTGCTACAGGTTGAAAATCGCTCTCTAATTCCCCCATCCCTCCCAGGATCAAACAGTGAGGTGAACTGGGCACGGAGCTGGGTGGGAAGGAGAATGAAGTCAGAATTGGAGGTGGCAACCTGGTTGTGTCGTCAGGTGGCTGTCGGTCCTGCAGGTGATATTGGCATGTTTTTGCTTTGTGAAGGGGAAGATGTGCTGCAATCTTGACTTTTATTATTATTATTATTTTGCTTTCTCCCTTCGTGGAGCTTTCATCCTGGAGTTCTGGGCAGGCTGGGCAGCTCCCAGTGGGAATCGAGTCAGATGGGACGGAGTGTGGATGATGGGCGTTCTCAACACACGAAGCCTCCCAGACTGGGGGGGAAAGCAACTTCTTTGCTGCTCCCATCCCCAGAGAAACCTCCCCAGGCAAACTCGCACCAGATCTGATGCCAGTGCTATGCAAAACAGCTGCCAGGTGAAGCGAGGAGAGCAGCGCGGTCCCTGTCTGCCGCGCTGCGGGGCTTATCACTGCCTCTTCCCTTCCACCCAGGACACCCATGGGAGCCTCGTGGATGGGGAAGCTCCGAGGAAATGTACTGTGTGAAGCTCAGAGCTCCCTTTAAATACCAGGGTTTCTGTGGTTGGGTGCAGTTCTGGGAGCGGAGGGCTGCATTGAGCCTTTGGGATCCCACCGTGTCTGGCTGGCTGTTGGCTGTTGTGGAGTTCCACCAAAATGAGTGGAGTTCCGGCAGTTTGCAGCAGTTGGGAATCTGCTGCTACTTACACTTTTCTTTCTTTTTATCACCTGGAGCTAGGAAAGATTAAATCTCAAGTGCAGATCCTCATTGTTTGAACAGTTAGTTCCTTTAAGGAGAGAAATAAGCGCTTCAGCACGGATCCTGGTGCTGGTAGGAGCTGGGAGGAAACCAGTCTGCTTTTAAAATGGTTGTAGGAAAGTCACTGAGTTAGCTGGAAGAAGAGCTGTTATCCCCATCACACCCCAACCTTGGCTTGCAGCTGAGATCATGTTAATTCTACTTGACACACAAGCTTTTACCGAAATAGAAAACCATGAGATCTGTTTGCAAATAAATCAGAGAGCAAACACTCACGGATCCTGCTGAAAAGTGGCAGAGATTTGTGTATCCAGCTCCCATTTACATAACTGCTGGGAGCAGAAATCACCTCGCCCCATTTTAAATATCACACTCTCGGACATCTAAGTCTGAACCAGTTGCCCCTGGGTCTCTTTGTAGTCCATAAAGAGAAACTGTCATCTCCAGAGGGCCGTTCGTCTCTGGTTGAGATAGGAGTGTGGGATAGGGTGGGGGAATGGCCTCTGGAGGTGCTTGGTGCTCCTTGTTGTCTATGAAGACAGCCTGGGGCAGTGGCTCAGTCTTGGATGCCCAAGCTGCAAACAGGCTCGCGTGGATCTCCATGCATATCTCCAGCATGTTCCACCATCACAAAAAAAGAAAAAGACAGACTTCATGTGAGGTGGGATGGTGCTGTGTACGGTCCTGTGGGAGAGGATAGGGCAAAAAGCAGAAGTCTGGAGGGAAAAGCACAAGATGGGAAGCTTGGAAGAAGAGGAGGAGGGGATGTACTAAGGAGCTTGGGCCTGGGTGCTTTGAAGCGCTGTGTGTTTTGGCAGAGCCTTGTTTGGAGAGCTTGGCTCGTGGTGTAGTGATGCAGCACGGAGCTGCTGCCCGCTTCCAAGAGCTGGGGTGTGCGGGGTGACTCAGAGCCCTCATCACTGGGACCCAGGGATTTCCCTCAAGGTCTTTGAATCTTGCCTCATCAACATGCTGCATTTGAACGTGAGCGAAAGTCTTGCATCCAAGAAACCAGAAGATTACCTTTTCCTTCCTGTTCTATTTTAGCAACTGGGAACTTTATTTCCTTCTCTCCTTCTTGCCCTTTCTCCCTTCAGCTACTGCCATTAGATTGCATCAACCCCCCCGCCCCCCTCCCTTGAGTTTCAAAGGTAGAAGCAGCAGGCCTTGAAGATCCTCACGCAGCCCTGCTCAGGTGTGTGGATGCTGATTGCAATCATTTATTAATGCTATCAGCATTCCCATCGCTTATCCGCACAGTCGTTGGCGCTCGGAGCTGGAGCTCAATGAATGAACCAATTCCTGGGGTGGAGCGGCGGGGAGAGGTGGCCATGGCCAGAGCAGGGAATCGCATGGAAAAGATGAGATGGAAAGAAAGAAAGCTTTGAAAAGCTGCTCTGGAAGAAGCCAGGAAGGAGGATGGGCTCTAACACAGCAGAAATGCAGACAGGCTGGTGGGAAAGGTGTAGACATGGAGTGGACAAACCACCCCCTGAGGATCTCAAAGAGCTCTGCTCGTTCCCCAGGGAATATTATGCATAGTGTGAGCTAAAGAACTGTGTGCTGGGTTGGGGGAGAGGCTTGAAAGCAAGCAGGGAGCTGGATGTGGGCTCACCCCTGAGCTGCATCCCAGCTCCATGCAGGAGATGTGAACTCTTGAACAACACGATGTGTTGGAGCTTGATCAGATCATAGGGCACAGGCTGTGCTTTGTGGGGAGCGTTATACTGGGGGGGGAAAAAAAAAAAACATGGGAGGAGGAGCCAGCCCCCCAGGGCTTCTGCTGGTGGGATATGAACAATTTAGGGCTATTTATCATGAGCCCAGTTGGGCTGGAAGAGAATGGGTTAGGGAATGGCTTGCAAAGAGAAGGAAAGGGGTTTCTTGGGGTTGCCTTTGCAATGAAGGAGGCTTCGTGGAATCCCTTAAAGCATTCATCTCTGCAGAGTGTGTAGCCTTTCCTTTGTGATGTTCCTGATGAATTTGGCAGGTGTGATGGAGGGGGGGGGGGAGAATGTTTATCATCAAAGGGGAATGAGTGAGGGCCTGTGCGGTACCTTCAGGCTGAAACCTGTCTGATTTTCCCCCTGTGCCTGCCAATCTCTCCTGGAATCAAGGAGACGCCTCTTGAGCACAACCCCACGGCACCCTCTGTTCCTTCAGATATCCCGCAATTACCTGGTGCCACACGGGTTCCTGAAGATCCCTGCTTTGCAGCCCTGGCCACCTGCTTGCCCGCCTCTCCCACAGCTGGATCTCTGTGTACAGTGCTGGGTTTCCCTGGGCATGTGTTACATCCTCCAGCTCTTCTGTGCTGGAGCCCTGTGCTCCCACTGTTGCCTTCACACCGCCTCCACCTTCCTCTCCTTTCCTTGCTTCTGCTGAGCCAGCAGCGTATCTTTGGTTATGGAAAGCTTAGCTAGATGCTGACTGCCATTAATACTGAGATATTTTTTTTTTTTTCTGTTTGTTTCATTGTAGGAAGTGAACAGAATGGGCTGGACTTTAACAGGCAGGTAAGACACTCCTTGGATTCTCCTGCTTTCTTGGATTGCTGTTTGTTTGTTGCTCATCTCGTTGAGTCCCAGGCAGCTCCTGCAAGGAGATAAAACTGTGAGGCCGTGAGCTACTGCTAAACAAACGATGGAAGCCCATCCCAATTCCCCTTGTGGGACACAATGGCAGATAAAACATTGGGTTTCCAGGCGTCCCCATTTCATAGAAATTCAGTTAATTATAGAGTTTCTTTAAATCGCGCTTTGCTTGAGGCTTTCTCTGGCTTTTTAATTATTTCTATTGTCACTTAGAAACAAAAGGGACCACAGTTACACCAGCAAATGAGCAAACCCCACCACAAAGCTCTGTGCATTTGCACTACGTGCGACACTGGCACTGGAAGCACTGTGGTATGCAAGTCTGGGAGCATGGGGCTGACTCACGGGAGTATCAGCAAGGGCTGGAGATGAGGTGGTTTGAGGTCTTGGAGTGCCTGGGTCAAGACCAGGCCTGCCTACAACAACAGACTTCTCTTTGCTAGGTGGTGGGGATAAGGGACACCAGAGGCATACGTGTCCTTCTGACAGCAGGGCAGCATGTGAGGGTCTGCAGGGATGCTGCCTTTGCTGCATGATGTTATCCTCCTGCTCCATGCAGCCAAAACAGCCCCTGTCTCATGGAACGCCTGCGGATTTTCAGCCCTGGGTCTGAGAAATCCCCAAACCTCAATGCAGAATGGCAAAGGGAAGCAGGTGGCAGCTCTGTGCGGAGGGTAGGTCTTGAATCTGCACAGAAACATGAGTATATGCTCTAAGTCTCAACCTAAAGACTCCTATGGCCACCCATGGAGCTGGGCTCAAACCTTGGAAGTAAAAAGAGGCAGTCTGGAGAGCAAAGCCACCAACCAACCTGCTGCAGGGCCTGGAGCTGGCTGGGAAGTTGTAGCAAGAAACGTAGCTGCATGGGCAGCCACGAGCACCTGATGTTGGCATTCCTCACAGCACAGCAGCCTGCCCGCTTCCAGCTTCACCTTCCCAGAGTCCAAGGGCTGCAATCTTTGCATGCTTCCCATTGGCAGCAGTTGGGCAGCTAGTGCTGCCCCATCGCTTTCCTGCCCTCCCACCTTCCCTCGGTGGCTCTGGTCTGGCAGATATCAGCGAGCTGCTGTTTGTTTGGTTGGTTTGGCTGCTCCGGCGTTGGGTGGGTCGTAGCTTCCTATCAAAAGGTGTCTTAACACGCTCAGCCATCTTCCAGGTTTTTGGAAAACCCAGCTGAAAACAAAAAGTCTTGTGTCTCCAGCTCTGCGGATTGCAGAGCCCAAAGCACAGGCTTTTTGCACGCCAAGAGAAGAATCCAATCTGCTTCTGACGGGCGATAAAAGAAAACTCCCTCCAGACAGAAATAAGCTATGAAAGCGCGAGATCGTTGCAAACTTCTCCTATGGCAACACCACAAAGGTGTTACAACTGAAACCTGGGCTGAGGTTAATCGAGGAAATGCTATTGACTGCAGTGAGGGAGAGCTGTGTTACAGCTGCCAGTGATCGGGCATGATATCGTTAAGCTCCTGGTCCTCTGCATGCTGCTGAATGAGGGCTGCTGGTCAAGGCGTAGGGCCAGCCCCAAAGTCAGTAGGATTATGGTGAGCCTATGGGTGGACGCGGGCCCTGCAGGCAGTGTGGCTCTCTGTCTCCCTCTCTTGGCTCTCCCGAGGCCAAGCATAGAGCTGAGCTGCTCTTCTCATTGCCATTATCTCAAATGAGCCCAAACGCACGCTCACGTTTTGGGTTGACCTCAGCTATTGGCGAATTTATCTTTAATTCAGCAAACAGATGTCGAGTGATGAGAAAAAGGAAGAGGGGAGATATGGAAATATCAAAGTGCTCTCATGTAAAACCAGATGCCGAGCTCGTTCATTAGTTGGTGGGTTTTTTAATTTTGGTTTGGGGTTTGGGTTGGTTTGGGGTTCTTTTTTTTTTTTTTTTCTTTTCCCTTTGTTAACCTGCAATTCAAGTTTTCAAGCTGAAGCAGAGAAGTATGGTTTGAAACCCAACTCCAAGCCGAACGCGAGAGCTCTTTGACTTTATTTGGAGTGTTGGGCGCTAATCGCTTTGAAGATCATAAATCTCACATCGTTTAAGCCTCTCCCCCAGCCTTTGTAGATGGCCTACATTTCAGGTCTGCTTCCCTCCCCTGTTGTGCTCCAGGCAGGAGGAGAAGGGTGGAGTGACCTGGTTAGACCCCTTCTTGCCTCCCAGTTCCTTGCTGGGACGGCTCTCACCCTGCAGATGGGGAGGAGGGAAACTCTTGCGGAGTTTGAGGTTTTCTTGCAGTTTGTGGGTCAGCCTTGTGCTTTATGAGAAAGCTGCTTTCTGCTCCCTCAACCTATTTGGCAGCCATCCCTTCTCCCCCCCTCCCCTCTTCAACCTCTCCTCCCACCTGGATGCAACAGTAATTTGTATGTGAATGAGAGGGGAAAGGGCGTGTATGGAAAAAAGCAGCATCTTCTGCCTTGCCTATCTGGTTTGGCTTTTTATTTAGAGAGTCTAATGCTGGTTGTTTCCTGTTTATATCAAGGGAAATGCAAAGAGAGAGTAATAAACTTTCACCTTCAGTGCTGGCAACCTGGGGAGGGACATCTGCTTCTTGATGGTTTGGGATCGTGGCCAGAGCGTGTCGGGGTGAGAAGTAAGGAGATCTGCAAAGGTGGCTTCAGCAAAATGGCACTGAGTCCAGAGCTCTGTCTGGATGCATTGCAGCAGAGATTTTGCTGCTGCTGTGCAGCGATCCTCACCAGGTGGGAAGACCTTGTTTGTATCATTTCCCCATTAGTACACGCAACTTTCACCCTGTAAGGTGTTTGTTTTCATAGACAGCTCTGAAGAGAGCTGTTCTGGAGAGCAGGTAATTTGCCCTTTGTCTGGAGTTAATCTCTGAAATAATATTGGCTTTGGAGTACTCGTAGAGCTGAGGGTGATGGTTTTGGGTGACAGTAGGTGTTGTGTGTGCCATGTGCACACAGCACACCCACAGTTAGCAGGGGAAGATGCAGATCCTGGCTCGGTGACTTCTTTTCCACCAGGGAGGTGATGGGTGGCATCGTGTTGCTCACTGCAATGCACCTCTGAGTGCCAGGGCAGAATGAAGGCTCCTTGCAGCGATGCTCTCAATCATTGCCCTGCACTCCAACTCTGGGACAGAATTCATATTACCAAGGCAGGGAAGGCTTAGCAGGATCTCTCTGTGCTCTGTATCCAAATATGCCATGCAGTTTCGTTCCAGCGAGAGGCTTACCCTCGCAGACAAGCTGTCATTTGTTTAATGGTAATGATGGGTTGGGAATTTGTACCAATATAAAGGCGATGCTGCCGTGAGACCTGACCATATTTCAGACAGATGAGCAGCTGATCGTGTGCCCGAGTCGCCTGGGGCTCTGCATAGCCTGAATTTTCTTGCTGGTTCTTCACTCCTATTACATTATATTCTTTGTTTTGTGCCCATTAGAGGTGTAACATGGGTACACCCCTTTCCTATGGATCTCCTAGAGATAGGATTTTGGGAAGCAGGCAGCTGGAAATGTGTCAGTGGGGCAGGAGTGATCTTGAGAACACGGGGAGCATCTGGGGTTAAATCAGAGAACAAGGGATGAGACTGAAGGGGTCTGGTGTTCATGTGCACTTCAGCTCAGCGTTGAACTCCCATGTCAGGTCATCTGCTGAGCCATTCTGACTGTCCCTAATGAGTGTGAGGGACACGTTTCATACCTCTCTCTCCCAGTGCTCAGTCAGCACCAAGCCGTTTGAGCTGCTTCACATTCCCAGCTGCTAGGAGTCAACAGCTTGACTTTTTGGCCAGTTGAATGCATCTGCCAGAATAGTAAAAGAAAAATCACCCAGTTTTCTAAAAAGTTCTTCCAAAATCAGGTGAAGGATTCCACATCCTACAATCCCAGCCCTCTGCCAGAGGTGCCACATGGGAACCTCCTTCCTTAACCCCATCTCCCTGCCCTGTCCCCATCTGATTGGGGTCATCATCTGGAGGCATTTTATTCTTTGGTTTACAGCTGTTCTGAGAGAGGAGCTGGATTTTCACAGCTGGTGTCCCGTAGGCACTCTGTGAGGAAAAGCAAGCAGGCAAGCTGCATCAGAGATCAGAAATCACAGGTGGCCCTTTGCAGCACCATTAATAACGCCCTGACCTTGTTTGGTCCTTTCCACCCACACGTCTGAAGGCGCTTTGCTAATGAATGGAGCATCCCAGTGCCTCCAGAAGGTAGGGAGGTGTTCAGCCCCGTCTTGCAGGCAGGCACTGACTGCCCGGCTTCTCCCAAAGATGCTGTGATTGCAGCTGAAATCAGCGGGTGCTTCAGAGGAGAGTTGCCTGTGGACATCGAGGCGTATTGTAATCCAGGGACTCGCTCCCTGGCTGAGCCGGGATACGGACTCCCATTCTCTGATTCATAGTCTTGTGCTCAACCACAGACAAGTTCTTCCTCCCCTCCATCCTTTTGAAGGTGGAAAGAAGGGCCCAACTCGCTCGGCACTTTGTTATTAATATCTGGGATGCAAAACTCCCTGCAGATTTAATTTTGCTCAATCAGGGCTTCCCTCCCCCCGGCGATCTCTCTCATAGTTTTTCATTCCACTTTGTGTTCCCACCTCCCCCTAATCTCATGTGTTCCCTAGATGTCATTTCTGTTCCTGCTTGGCTCTCCCTGTGGGTAGTTCAGGTTTCAGTCTGCCCTCCAGATTTCCATCCCCGTCCTGTTTTGCCCTCCTCTCGAGGGGAGGTTCCCATCCTGCTTCCTTCTCCCCTCTGGGGATCAATTCAGATTTCACTCTCTCTTCTTCTCCGCATCGCCCCGGGGTCTCAGCTAAAGTCTTGCAGCTGCTTTTCATCTCTTGAGCCTCCTCTAGCTGGAAATGGGCCTGGCTGTCCATATCTGCCTCGACTGACACTGGATCTAAGCGGAGCACCACCTTGGCCTTTCCCTTTTGAAGTTCCCTTGCTCCGTCCCAGGG